AAAAAAATAAGAAATCAGGAAGGGGGCAAACACTTTTTCACACAACTATATATACTAAATAGGACACCGTGATTGCAAAGACAGCAGTGACATCACCCTGTAGTTTAAGATGTCATCATTCTGTCAGAACCAACAGAAGAACCTTCTTTAACATCCTCCGTTCTCTTAAGATAAAATCTGATCTTTAATTTAAAGAGACAGAAGTTAAAGCAGACGCTGTGATTTATTGAACAGGTTTATTAGAGAAACGATGACATCACTTCTAAATGTTTAGAACGACTGAACACGACGTCATGATGTCATTAAACTACTCTACAATGAACAAAAAGGCACGAGAATGAAAGCAATAGAGATGAATAGAAAGACCCTTCAGCCAGTACTCATGTTCACTGAGCAGAGCCTGAAGGCATCATCATGTAACTGAAGTGAACCTCTGTTGGTTAGCCGTTAGCGGTGCTGCTAACGTTACTAGAAACATCAGAGATCAGAGACTAGAAACATCAATGATGTCATGATCAAAACTTTATTTACACCGGTGGTTAACAGGGGGGGGGTATTTCACAGAAACGTGGATCTATTGAACAACGAATAAAAAGGAGGCAAACTCAGAGTTACTGGTTGGACTGTGGGGCGGGGTGCAAAAGTCATTCATCCTTCTTGTCTCCTTCCTCCTCTCCTTCTGCTGCCTCGACTCCTTCCTCCTCCTGTAATCCCTCCTCACCGACCTCGTCGTGCACCACGTATCCTTCCTCCTCATCCTCCTCTCCAACCTCAAAACCTTCCTCCTCTTCCTGGTTCCTCTGCTCTTCCTCCATCTTTTCCTCCTCTGCTGTTGCATCATCTTCATTCTGGCTCGACTCTGCCTCTTTAGCTACTGGCTCCTCCTCTTTAGCAACTGTCTCCTCCTCCCCCTCCGCAGGCTCCGCCTCCTCCGTCTGTCCATCCGCTGCCTCGCTGGTCAACTCCAGCTCTGACACGTCCATCACCATCGAGTCCTCTGGGTCCTGGTCATCAATGTTACCGGTGAACGGGTTTTCTCCCTGGAGACAAAAAGAACATCTAAAAGCCTGAGGACAGCGAACGCACCTCGAGGTAGCTCTACAACCCGATGACAGTGAACGCACCTTGAGGTAGCTCTCCAGCTTCTTCCCGATCAGTTTGTGGTTGAGGATGCTGCGAGCGACGGACAGACTGGCCCTCTTGGACTGCTCCATCATCCCCTTTGATCACAGAGAGAACACGTCATTACAGAATGGGTCAACTGCACCGCTGTAAAAAAGTTTCATCTTTCCTACGGTCTTTGAACACGCCTCATTATAAATGTCTCCTCTAATAAAGCGTTCACTTTAACCAATGAATCAATCAGTGAAACTATGAAGTCATGATTGATTCATCTGAGACCAACAGTCATGTGACAACAAGGAGGAGACACTGACCCAAAAATAGAAATAGTTAAATATATATAAATATATACCATGTGAAGCCTCCATTTACTTTCCTACACTGGTAACACGAGGAAACATGTTGGAATTGTAGATTGTATTGTTTTCCAATTTTTGCAAAAGAAATTCAACTTCAGTTTTTTCTTTTGAATGATTGATGTCACATTCATCACTTTATGTTCCAGAGAGAATAGAGACCAGAGAGTAATATTTAGTATGAATCCAGGTCTGTCTCTTTGCTCAGCTGATCTCGTGATCATTGGTCTTCCGTACCTTCCTGTTGTAGTTGTGGTCTGGAGACTTGATGTGTTTCTGGATCAGGTGAGGCTGCATCGGGATGAACAGGTCACAAGCTGCACAGTGAGCGGCTTCTACCTTCCTCATGAAGTGCTCCATACCGAGCTCTGTACGGACGAGAGACATCAATGTAGAGAGAGAGAGAGACGGAGAGAGAGACAGAGACAGACAGTCTTACCTCTGGTGAGGTCTTGCTCTTTGTACACCTGACAGATTGCAGCACTGTGGTTCTCCAACTGTCCGACTCTCTGATCCGTCTTCTTAAACTTGTTCAGCAGATATTCCTACAAAATAAGTCTCTTATTATTCTTTATTATTTCACTACGCTCCACATCACAGATTGTTGTGTTCGACAGCATCCAGGCGCCTCAGAATACAACTTATTAAAAACAAACTACAGAAATTATTCAATAAAGTTTTGTTTTTTTTAACAATAAAAATGATTAGTTTCCCCGCTGTGGGACTAATAAGGATTATCTTATTTCATCTTCAGGATTAAAAAGAAACATCATCATCAGATGTTCATTTTATTTCAATGGTCCTTGTACGCATCATGTGCAACGGACGCTTCAGTCAGAGAAGAGCAGCTAAAGCGAAGCTTCAATATGTGATGTTTCATCACAAACATTTCATTCTACATGTTGTCATTATAAATGTCTCCTCTAATAAAGAGTTCACTTTAACCAGAGTGTGTTAAACATTAAGCTGTGAGCTCCTCAGAGACACTGACGTCATGATTGAGTCATCTGAGACCAACTGTCATGTGACAACCAGGAGGAGACACTGACTGAACTACAGTAAGTGGACACAGAAGAGGGGAGGAGAGGGGAGAGAAGAGGGGAGGAGAGGGGAGAAGGAGAGAGAGGAGAGGAGAGAAGAGAGAGGAGAGGAGGGGAGAAGAGAGGCTGAAACATGTGAATAATTTAATATTTGTAACATGTAGAGACTCTATTTGAGACTTGAACAATGTTGGATATTTAGATTCTAGTGTGAATGTACTTTACATAAATTGAACTTGTGTTTTGTTTCTTCTTAACGATGATGTCATCATAACTGTTATTGTGCACTACAGACGTATTGATGGTTGGATAGAGCAGCAGGACTTTATACCTGCTGACGTTACGATGCTTCCTCGTGGGCGCTAGCGTTAAACAGATTCATCAGGGATCCGTTTCTATCTCAGACCCCTAGTGGCCCCGGAGAGACGCTCACCTGGAGGAAGTCCGTGGTGGGTTTGCACAGCTGGCCTGAGAGGAACTTGAAGTGGTCCTTGTGGAAGCGACTGTCCAGGTGAGTCTCCATCTCCTCTTTGTAGAAGGAACGGAACTTACACACCGAGCAGGCGAACATCACCCTGAAGCACAAAGACCGTCACCTCTCATCGTTTCTCTCACTCCGACTATCTGATACTCTCATCATTAAAGAACAGATGAATCTACTGCCGTCATCTTTAATTCAATAACTGTACATCAGTTATTATTAGCAACAAACAGAAGGGAGGAGTCCACATGAATGAAACAGAAGCAGCTGTAGATAAACGTTTAGGAGTCATGTGACACAACAAGCTGCTGTTCTTCACTTCTAACCAATGAGCATCATCCACAGACCGTCTACGGCAGGAACAGAGACCACGACGCTGCTACGACGTTAGCTTAGCACAGCACCGATCAATCCAGAAAACAAGCATTTTAAAGCTGTGTACTTGTCGTCTTGTGGAGCGAACTAGTAGAGAATAAATGCAGACGTTGTACAGATGTTCATCACGTAGTTAACTGGACTTCTTGGTGTGTTTAGTGTTCACACAGCGGCAGTAAACAGACGTGTGGTGCGACACAGTGAAGACTCCTCTAGATGACGTCATGAACACTAAGCAGAAGAACAGGTTATTTCTGTAAATGGTTGATGGAGGAAAGAAACGGCTTAGTTAGCAACGGTTTGGTTGGAGATAAGCCACACCCCCCCCCCCCCCCCCCCAACTACCTCTCCAGGAAGCCCCTCCTCTTCCTCATCTTCGGGAGCTTGTCCTGACTCCGTTTGTCTTGAGGACTCTTCTCGTCTTGTTTCTGTGAATCTGAGCAGAGAGAAGGACGAGCTTGATGTACATGAACATGAATAAATCCTGAGAGAAGGTAAATGAAACGGATGTCGAGGAGCTTCAACCTTTATCTCCGTCTGCTGCAGGACTCGTCTCCTGTAGAACAATCACCGTGTTAATAACCTGAACACGTGCTGAGAACTTCAGACACGTTCATTTACGTTACATTCACAGCCTCGCTGAACAACAACCGTCTTACTCTGTCATCAATTTAATTATTATATTAAATCAACATACATAACTCGTCTGGCTAAACGCCAACACACACACACACACACATATATACACACACACACACGTGGAAAAAGTGTTTGCCCCCTTCCTGATTTCTTATTTTTTTGCATGTTT